AGTTTGGTAGTTTAGTTTTGAAATAAATGGTAAATTTACCATAGAAAGGCACAGAATCGATTCCCACACCTAATACAACGCTTCGATCGATAAAAATATATTTCATTTCGCAAGAGACAGACGCTTTGACGATGATAATAACGGAACGACATGAATATTAATGACCCTTTACGACTCTTGTGACACCTTATATTTGAACTGCAAGCGAGATTACAATTTCAATTCTGGCCTTCTGTTGCAATTGCTTGGTAAACACAACCTAATATCGCAACCTGTCCATCGGGGAACTAATTACGAATTAACACATTCTGGCCATCAGTCCAGTCGTTAACTCCATGTAAAAACATTTACATGTAACACCAGTGTTTCTCAGATTTCACTTTTTAGTGAAACCCTCTAAAAAAAAAAAGAAGTATTCTAAACGGTACTCTCGGACCTATGGGATCTAACCTATAGAAAAATGTTTATTAACTTCCAGATTTATGGGGAAGTTATTGTATTTGTCCCTAAAATGAAAAAATCCATTTTTTAGCAGATCTTCATGTTCCAAGGTCATTGTAGTAATTTCACCCTATTTTTAACAAAATTGTTCGTGTGTGTATGTGTGTGTGTGTGCGTATGTAAACAAATTTTTCGCTAACGTTTTCTAAAAAAAAACCTAATAGCGAGATCAAAATGATCGATGTGTATCAATCTAACTTAGAGCTGATTAGATTTTGTTCTAATTCGGTCCAGTAGTTTTTTTAGTTTTTTTTTTTTTTTTTAAAGAAAACTTAACTCAATAACGCAATCCAGATCGGAGAATATAAATTGACGAGTGAACAACTAAACGGAAATAAATAATATATACACATATATTATTATTATATTTATGCGTATATAATACATGTAAATATACAGACAGGGTGCTCGAAAAGTATGGAAACATTCAAATATTTCCAAAATGGAACAATTTGTGAGAAAAAAATGGTTCAGAGAAATGTTTCAGGGTTTGAAAAATTCTATTGAATGATCGTGTCCGTTTGATTTAATTTAAACTTTAACCGGACTCCCATAGACTAAAAATTTGTGAAATACTGTACCGTGGCTGATGCCAGGCTTAAACTAAGAAGCGCGTTAATAATCACTCGGTAAACGCAGTTACGTTTAATTTAATATTGCGATCCGGTTACGTAACCAGCGTTCTGAATAAGGAGGATCAATCGCCACGGAGTTGGAACGACCACTATGTATTTATTAATAGTACTAGCAAAATTCAAGAGGCGTTGTTTTTGCGCTCTGTTTATTCCCCGAACTCGTTGGAACGAGCGACGCGAACCTTTTACGAAAGAAAACCCCGATAATACCTGACCACGGGCAAGATGTTAATTGCTGGAAAGGTCACCGTAGGTTCTTGACCGCGTTGCGTATATATCGTGCGAAAATATACACACGAGGAAACTTCTATTTTTCAATTATCGAGCGTTGAAATCAAATCTGTGCTCTTACGTTTAATAGTTTTTGTAACGTAAACGTAAATCCAACTTCGAACGAACACGAAGCTCCGGATACGTAATGCTTGTTTACATCGAGCGCAGCAGTTCACAGATGGTCGTTGCGCTTTGTTTTCATTTAAAATTTTAACGAATGATTATACGAGTTCTAATAATTACACGATGCGGCGCGGATTATATTTCTTTCCTCGTTGTTATGTAGGCAGGATCGTTAAATTACCAAGTGTACGGTATATCCGACGAGAAGCTAAATGTGATCTGATTTGCATAAACCGAAGGAGGCTTTTAGCACAAACGATACCTCGTAAATCGATAGGCCAGAGAGAACCTGGCACCGAAAAGATAATTATTGTTCGTGATTGTCGCGCACGCGATGTCCGCATTGTTTCCATTGTTAGCAGTTCGTTAGCGAGTTACGTTCGAAGCCAAAAGTAAAATAATTTGACAACAAAGCCGAACAAGAATATCAGCGAATAAAAGGCGAGTCCGAAACGGAAATTTTATGTCGAATACGTCCGAGTACCGTAAATGAAAACAAACAGAAGCCGTTGTAACCGTGCAAATAAGAAAGCAACGTGCGCTGGTATAACCTTGACAAGAGCTATAGTCGATCCTATCCGCCGCGACGAATTACGAACAAAGCTTCTTGAAGGGTCTCCTCGCATTAGCGCCGCGAAAAATGGGTCATCTTTAGGAATTATTTTAAGAGAATGTACGAGCTGAATCATTCTCAAATTTGGCACTCGGTCCTCGCCGATTATCGAAGAAGGTTTCGCCATTTTTTATAACTAGAAAATCGATGTCGAGAGGTGTCTCTGTGTTTTAATCATTGGATTGAAAAATCGCACCGAAAATGGTTCGAGTAGCGTAGATACCAAGCGAAGAGGAAAAAAAAAAGAAAAAAAGAAAAAAAAACGGAGTTAATATTGAAATAATACTATTCAATATTAATACTAATCTAATTCAACGTTATTATTAACGTTGGAATTGATTTAAGTATTACTACATTATCTGATGTAATTATTTTGTCATTAGTAGATTAGATATCGAATTTGATCTGCTCGAATATTCAGTGCAGCTCTTCGCAAATTGCAATTCGCGAATGCAGCACCCGAGGCTTGTCGTATCGGTCGCTCCTGGGTGTATATATGTAAACGCACCATTAGTAACATCGTACGATTTTTATGAATGGACTACGTTTCTATGTAGTAGTAAATACGCTCGCCGACTCGTGAACGATCACGACCCGGAATTGTTACAAATCGATTAGGCTTCTACGATAGCATACGTGACAACCGACAGTGAAGCATCGACCGAGCAAATTAAGTAGGTTTTGTCAATTTAATTCGTTCAAACACGCAATAATTCCGAGTCGAATCGACGACAGTACCGTCTGGATGGTCGGCCATTTTCGTTGGCTTTGTTTACGTAGCCGTATACCCAGGGCCGGTCAAGACATGGGTTATAAGGGTTACAAATTACGGGCCACCGACAGCTGGAGAGTCTCCAGAGATAATGTGAAATATTATCTCACTTATGAATACCAAATCGAAATATAATACATGTACTCTAAACTCTATTTCAAACTGGCTGACATTGGTGTCTACAGTCATTGTGCTAAGTTTGTAATTATGGTATTATACCGTGTATTGCATCATCTATACTTGTAAACATTGTGTCATGCATGCTCTACAGACCCTACATCATCTTAACCTTCACATATTTTACAAAGCTTTCCTAATCTTTGCCCTGTGTAACTACTTTCATTCTTATTATATGATTTGTTAATGCTTTATAATGAAACATCAACTTGTCAACTTCCATTTTTCCCTTCCATGTGAAATTTATTTTACTATATTTTTATGATAACTAAATTAAAATTATATTAATGACAACCCTGTAACCCGGTTTCTAACCGGGTTTCTGTAACCCGGGGCTCTAACGAACGTTGATCCGGCATTGCGTCTATCGAACCGCGGTGAACGCAAACATGGCAAAGTTCTGTATGTTTCGGTGAAAAAATCTATCGAATGGCATATTCTCTTACCTCGAATTGCCAGTGTGCCGCCTGCAGCAACTGTTTCGCTTGCTCTCTGGCACAACCAGCGGCCAGCACGAACTGATTGATCATCACTTGCTCGCGAAGGGCGTCCATTTTTTTCGTCACGTTGTTTTTTTTTTGTTTCCAAAAAGGAGAGAAAATACCAGACGAAATGAGGCACACGCGAGACACGAGCACGGCACAGCCTTCCGTATCACCGGGCTTTAACTGTGCCTCGGAGGTTTCGTTTAGACGCGAGCGCGGCCTGCGAGCGGCGACCAGCCTCTTGTTTTCAAAACTAAACTCATCGCAGACGGCTGATGGGCGCTGCGGGTCGCGGAACGTGCGGGACGAAGGCGATGTGACGTCACAGCCAGCTATTCGCGAACGAGCGTACCGCCTCCCCAGTGTTTGGAGACGTTCTCCCCACCGCGTACGCTCCCCACTTCGATTGTTTGTTTTCGTACATAATAAACAGTGCAAAAGTTTGCGCTGTTAAGGGACGATTCACTCGTGCATTAGCGAACGGTTCCATTTTGTTCAATATTCTCGTATTCGTGCTGCCAACAAATAATTTATTCGCAGCTTAGAATCGGTCAAGATGAAATTTTAACACAGAAATAGATAACATGATTTCGTGTTTCGTTTGGTGGGAATACCTATTAGGTCACCCACCTCTGTTCTCGAGAAACATCGTTTTTGTAATGTTTGGAGACTACTTGGATGTTTATTAAGTTTGCAAGCCTGCTCGATACGTTTTACGATAAAGTAATCTCTAACTTGCCGATTGTAGTTAAGAAACGTGTTATCCGAGTATGAATATTGTTCTGAAAAAATATATTTTGTATCTTTTTAATGACATTATAATTTTAATGACAGTACTACAAATATATTCTTAACAGAATGAAGAAATTAATTTAAGATAATTTTACATTTTTTATGTACTTGAGAACTGATGCTAAGGTTAAAATAATATAACAATCTTAACATCAATTTCTTTTTATTAATAGAACAGTAAGACGTTCAAGATTTTTGTAGAGAGTAATTCATTATCACAGTATTATATTAATGGCCTTTTATATGCCCATAACTGGTCATGATCGTACATAGTATGGATTTTTTCATACATATATTTAAAAAAATATAAGAGATTGTCATATTGACCTTTATATCTCTGATCAATTTCAGATAATTCGTCTTCAATTTGTTCTACAACAGAATCATCTGCGTATCCTTCTAATTTGCCAAACGCACATATATGCAGTTCTACTAAAAACTGATGAATCGCTTCAATTGTAGCTAAATACCATCGTGGACTTTTTTTTTGATGACGCCAAAATTGGGATATCCTTGATTTTAAGACAATGCATTGTAAATCTGTGAATTAATATTAAATATTCAAAAACTAAATTATCTATTGGCTATGATTCTCAATCTTTTACCTCGTAATCTTTGATCCTTATAAATAGCTTTTGTTTGGTGCCATGTGCTATCAATGAAAATGGCTCGCTTTATAGGAAATTCATTCTTTATCCTATTGATTATCACATTGTTACCTTGTTTTATCTCTTTCTCAAAGAGAGATTCGACACTTGTGCTAGTTTTGCTAGGAAAAATTAAGACAGTCTAAGGGATGATGTTATCAAGAACAAACTAATATCTTTGAAAGTTACGATATTTAAAGTACGTGTTCACCTCTTCCTTGTCTACTATGTCTGGGAAATCAGGATATGTAAAAATTCTCACATCGTTTGGTGCCAGCACAGCTGCATGAATAGCTGTACTTTTTCCATCGATTTCACGTGCATGCTTAACAATGTCAATCTTAATTGGTAACTAAAAACAAAAACTTGTTTACTCGTGTTTACGTGAAACGTAAAAGTGTTTTCAGTCGATTTCGATACCTTCACTCTGGGAAAGTATTTTTCAGGGATTACCGGTAAGCAACACGAGTAACAAAAGAATTTCCGTGATTTGTAACATCGGTTACATATCTCCCTGCCTTCGATCGTGTCTAAAACTTGAGCATCGGTAATTTTCAAATGACGAAATGGCGCCCTATCGATGATTCTCTGTTCTACCTCCAAGTTTGAAAGTCTTTCGACATAATCATTCGTCACATCAGATTCCGTCATATTTTTAATGCCATGAAAATACCTGACTAAACATAAAATCTACTCGATATGCTTAACAGTGTTTTACACAACTGTAGAAATACAAAGTATCGTTGACGGATAGGTTATCACTGAACACAGAATATGGTTTATCAGAGGTGAAACTCTTGTCAAAATCTTTGATGTCTGTGTTCCTCTTTAGGGTCGACTCTAAGCAAATTAATTTACCGTACTAATGTCAAATTAAAATAATCTTCATACGAAAGGACATTGTAAAAGTATTGTGTACAAATAAATTATACTTGAAAACAGAAAATATTGTCAAATGAATAACTAGTCATTTTTTGATATGTAATCAGCGCCCTCGAGAGCAGAACGCTTAAGCTTGTAGTGGAATAGTTCATAATTTTGATGTTGGATGACATCACCAATATTGCTTATCTTTATATGGTAACTGATTTCACCGTCGGTAAAAAAAAGTTTCTAGCGGCGTCATCTAAAATGATAAGTGGAAACTATTTTACGACAAACTTGGACTTTTTGCCGCCGAGGACGCTGACTATAGGCCGATAAATTAGTTCGGCTTTTTTACCGCTGGATGACTTACACCTTACTATGTAAACTCGATCTACTTGAACTAGGATTCATAACTCCCAAATGGTATTACTTCGCATCTGATCGCTGTACCTATCTTTGCACTTAAATTAGAATCTAATCTCTTATTTCCAACGCAAAGCCATATCTAATTAATTTTAAATTTGATACAAAGATATCTTGTAAGGTCCTAAGTCACCTACGTACTGTGGTTGATACACTAACCATTGGTTATAAAAAGGAAATGTCTGATACATTAATAAACCTATAAAAAGCACGAGTCTTAATTAGAATAACAGGTAATTCCGAGTTTTAACCTAAATAGAGTTGCATGAACGCAGCCTGGGATGTAATTTATGAATCACCATTTCTTTGTGTTTCTCTTTTAATTAGAAATCTCCTCGTCTCTGAAAGGAATCCTGTATCGACGTTTGATGAACCGGCGCGCTTCAATTATTGCTTTCGTTTTTGAATAATTAGTCGATGAAGGAAACGTAGGTAGCAGGTAGCTAAGAAAGAAACGAAACGTGGCGTTATCTCTGTTTCCTTCTAATTTAGAACTTCTTTGACCGGGACAATTAATCGAATTATTCGCGAATCTCTCGCTACGCTTGCGTTACGCCGTGAAGAATAAGATTACTTGATTACTCTGTCCGGTGTTAATGAGACAGAGGAAGGTTGGAGCAATCGTAATAACTTGTACACGTTTCTTTTTTTTTTTTTTTTTTTCACGGAATAGTGTATCCACGTTTCGAACCAAGTTATCCGTTTACTCGGAATTTATTGATTCGCTAAAATGGGACAGCACGGGACTTTATTACTGTTTGAAATAGACCTTTTAATTTTAATGTACAGTGTTATCTTGAATTGATAGCACTCGACGAGACAGTCCACGCTTAGAATCATTCTCATCCAATTTGATTATATCGATCGGTCGAACTTCACTCAAGTGATTGATGAGTGTCTACTGAATTTGATCGATGCCTTGAGTCGAATATCAAATTTCAGTACTCTGGATATGAACTCTGGGTATCAACGATGAAAGTTAATTAAAATTCCAATCAAAATTCCGTAAAATTGTCCAGCCAATATGAACGCAATATATCGAAAGTATCGTACGTAAGAATAATCAAAAAATGAAAATTATTAATACGAGGGACTTTGATAATTTGGTCTAAGTTCCAAATTTCATTGCAAGTTGATCGCAGTTAAATTTCTTTGCTCTAAACTCGAACGAGAAAAGAATAGTTAACTCTACGTCGTGGATTTTAATTAATGGGTCGTGTAATCAATTTGCAATGTTCGGGATATGTATCGGGAACATCGGTCTGTGAGTGTTATTGATAATTCGCGACAAGTCGAAAGCAATAAATATTAATAATGTGAAAATCGGCGCCTACGCGATCAGTCTTTGAAAAGCATCGACGGAAGTGCGTGACACTTTCTGTCATAGGCAATTGGCGAAGAAGAAATTCTCTCGGTTCGCCTCGAAATCGAACGCGGCAAATGATTGATCCCTTTTGTTACGAGGTTCTCTCGATAAAGTTCGACGGAAGAGTGCAAATAAAGCGTTACGAGTGCGTGTGCGTGCGCTCACTTCCATTCTGTACTTCGGTAGTTAATTAATTTGACTTCAAATTCAGCAGTTAGGGAGGAGGACCGTATCTTGGGTACGCTTTTCAGCGGATTACTTTCTTAAAAGGGTGTTGTAATTATAATCTACCTATCACATTTTCCCTGGAATATTTCTATATAAAAATTAAACTGAAACATAATGCATAATGTATAATGTAAATTATAATGTAAATTATAATGTAAAAATAAAGTATAGCGTTGTCTAAACTATATCTAAATGAACGTTACCCACTTTAGCTTTCTGCTGAAAATTTTTCAAAATGTAACACGACGTTGTAGAAGCTACATCTGAGTGAGCATTATCGAAATGAATATTTTTGTTTAATATTTCGTTCGTTAGTGACAAAGTGTCCGCGACGCACACGTCATACCCCGTCGAATTATACGTTTCTATATGTGCTCGAGCAATTTCGCGTGATTCGATCAAAGCCGTTGCGCGAATTCCAGAGATGCTTCCACAGTTTCCGGTGCTGCGTTCCAGCAACCATTATCATTATCACATTTTTCCAGCTTCAGCGCCTTAACGCGCTCCCCGGGGAGATTTTTCCATCTGTCGACTCGATCGTTAGTAAATTCAATCGTATTTATTATTAATTTAAATCCAGAAATATTAAGGAAGAATCTACAACGAAAAATTAACAGATACGAACACGTCACGGACACTTTGCGATTTCAAAGCATTATCAAAGGAGATAGAGAAAAAGTTCATGAGACTTTTTCATGTAGAATTTAATTCTCTTTAAAATTCATTCCGAGTATTTTTGGCCATTTTTGTAAATAACGAACACAGAACGAAAAAACCAAAAGGCCACGAGTTCCCCATTTTTCGCGCTATTAGTCTCAAAATATCTAAAATAACTGAATGAACTCATTACGTAGACATATCGTTGAAAGGGTTAATGGGGGCTAATTGGTCCCTGGCACCTTCGTTTGACGCGAGACCTTTGGGGATGAAATCGATGGCCATAGAGAATCATCCAATAACCTCCGGGGAACATCATCCGAACAGATGTGTTACATGGGTAGTTCGACAAACGAATCCGTGGGTTGATTACGCTTGATCAACCCGATCGTGATTGAGGGTAAGAACCATCGATAGGAATAAGTACCGTGATCGCAATTTCTGTTTACAAGATACTTGGGCGCAGGACCAGACAAGTGTCGATTAATCTAGTCCCGTGTCGACGAAGAGTACCTACAACCCGGTACCTAAAGTAAAAACGACCATTTTTCTAGATAGCTTGCGCCTTATGTCTCCTACCATTGATTAGGAGTGACGTGATCATTTACGTGTACTGCTGTCACTTGTATCACATCAAGATGATTCAAGGATCTGTTCTTGTACTCGTACGTTTAAATAAATCGAGCGTTAGATACCCAGTTGCTAGTAGCTTTGCTTCATTGATAGCTAAACTTGTCCTTGTACTTGTCCTAAGGTTGGTGTTCCCATAACGTTTAAGTCCAAGTTCATGTATTCGTTAATGCTGCTTATAGATTTTTGGTTACTGCATCACTCTTTCCATAATGTATAGTGCGAGAACGAAGGTGTTGAATAAAAATGAAAGTCATTTCTTTATCTAGACTAACAAACTGACAAATAAGTAAGCTATCTCTGTTTCTTTTCTTTATATAAGAAAATACCATGAAATCAATTGCCTCATTGGGACGGCACGCGACCGATTGGATGCGTTCCCTAACGAGTTAACAATACCCCATTGCAAGATATCGCGCAATAACGGTTTAAGCATAGTCTATTCACCGTTGCGTCCCGGGTGTAATCGTTATTCTCAATTCTTTTAATTGGCGTTTAACGGGCGACGTATAGCTGCGTCCACCCTCGCGAATCGAGATTTTCCTCCACGGTTTTTCCACGAGTGAGGTCCTTCGCTTACCAGGATTCATTCGACAACGTAAACCCGTCGGTTCAATTGAATAGTTGCTCCATTGCGGGAATTAGTCGACAGGCCAGGGTCCAGACGTTAAGAGCACTATTAGCCAGCGACCGTCGAGTACATATTATAGCGACCGGGACGACGACAAAGTCGCACTTCGATGACGAACTTTAATTGCTTTAGGGCTGGAACTTCGCCAACGTCCGAACGATGGCAGGGTATCAAATGGATTTTATCGTCTTTTCATTGGATTATTGTCGAATTATCGCCCAGATCGACCATCAGACACGTATTTCCGCGAATTAAATCCATTGGCTTACTTCCGTTTGCGTTTCCTTTCTACAACTGGGTTAGTCGGCACGTTTTATGTTTCTGGCGCTTTGGATAAATGGAAGGAAGACCCCACTGGCTTCTTTCGATGATAATTTTCCGTTAACGAGTAAATTTTTAAGAGAGTATACTAGAGCATCCACTTTCAGGCATTCTTTTTTAACGCGTAAGGATTTTTTCTCATTCCAATGGAGCTAAACGTATTATCGCTTCTGTAATCATCCCTTAAATAATCGATTTAGATCCCTTTTTTGTTCGAGGCTCTAGGCAAACGTCCTTGGCGCCATTGAATTTAGTCGTAATTTCTGTCTACGATTATTTGAGCATCCACCGTTTCTTCGATAAATTTAACTCGGCGCGTCGGCGTCATTGAGATTTTAAGGTGCTTGCGACGGATTAGGGGTTGGCCTGTAAAACAGCGATTCGCCGAATTCCATCGTTCCACCTTGCCTTCTCTGCTACAATGTAATGTCAAAGAAAATGTATCGTTTGTAGTCACCGTCGTACCTAATGCAAATAAGGAAGGAGAATAATGGCATCCAGTAGGCGGTGATTTTCTATGTGAAATGTGACATTATTAATTCCACTTCGGCTGGTAGAACCATACCCTTAAAGGATGTCCAACTTTTGGACAAACATCCTGTAGACATATTTTTTTATTTTTCTCTTTTATTTCGCTAAAAATT